AAAAGTTAAAAGCACGCCTCTAAGCGAACCCGTGACTTGTTTACGCCTCATTAGCCGGACATTAAGATTATGCATTTTTATGAACTTTTCGGTCAAATTTAACACACGACTTGGCCGGAACTTTGTAATTAAATCTGTTACAATCAAATTACTTGGCCTTTTGTCGGTGGCGACGCGTTTCCTGGCCCTGATTTTTTCTGTTTTCCCGCATTATCGGGATGGAAAACTTGAAGATGCTGCCGGGTGTTGGAATTAAGTCAACTCAATGTCACTTAAATATCCGCTTTTGAAAGAGAGAAGCAGATAAGGGAGATGGAGCACAACAGCAGAAATCTGAGGGGAAAAAAATGTGATGCCATTTATTTTAATTTGCGAGTCAAAATGTCGAGACTTAAAGTGAGCAATGGAGTGCGGCCGAAATGCGCCACAAGCTGGGCTGGACACAGGCGGAGATTGAAAGAGAAATGGCCAAATGGCAGCCGCAATGACGCAATTGCGGGGCTGGTTTAAGGGTCAAACAATTTAATTGACTGACTTAGAATCGATACCAAAAATGGGCACAAAAATCATCATAAATTGGCCAATTTTATTTAGGTAACAAAAACTTCTCTAAACCTAATCAGGGAAAATCGTTCTCCGAGTTGTTCAAAATCCTAACATGCAGATAAATAACTTCGAATGCCAAAAGGGATCATCGCAAATGGATCCCTTGGGGCGAGTAGAATACGTAAGATATGGCCATAAAACTAAATTGATGTCTAGAAGTATATTCACAGCCAAAGGTCAAGCGAATGAGAAGAGCATAAAATCATAAAAGGTATTATGGTTACTTGGCTTTATTTAACTTTGAAGCATACGAGATTCTTCATAAAGTGCATTACTCTAAAGACATTTTAAATAACAATATAATTTCAATATTGCACAAGACTTAAGACTTGCTTATTTTTACACGTGGCTGGGTGGGTCGAAACCCTGAATATCTTTACCCTTTGCCTTCGACCACTTTAAAGCATTCACCTGGTGAACCCGACGCCAGCATTACATCAATGTGTGGGTGGAAATGGGATGAGATGGGTCGAGGTGGAGTCGTCGTCATCAGTCTGAAAGTTCTCGCTGGGCTACTTTCGGTATGTTGAGTAATGTGAGTGCTTCCGCCTGTCTCGGGTCCGTGTCTGTCTGTGTGTGTGTGTGGACCACTTCCTGCTGCCTTCATTTTCCCTTTGCCATTTTTCGCTGCGTTTTTCTTTTATTTTACAAAAAAATTTCAAAATACTTAATACTCAATTTGGCCCACAGACCCACAGCATATATGTATGTACCATAACATAGCTGAAGTGGCAGTGGGAACTGAATGCTGAGGTGGAGGTGGAGCACATGTGTGCTGTGCTAACTGCTCACCACTTGGCCGCATTTCCTTCCCGGCTCTGTCTGCGCGGCAACTGCTGGATAAAAGCATCTTTGGCGGGCTGAATAACTTGTTGGATCCCCGGGTACTGTAGCAAACACTTGCCGACCAAATGGTGCTTGAATGTATTTCACTTTGATTTGCTTTTATTTTTAAAGAAATCCATTCGACGCTGCTTGTGCGGTCTGTGCTTGGCATAAATCTGCAGGGAAACGGGCATCCTTTTCGAATGGGCTGAAGGACCCAAAGCTCAGGACTCAGAGCTCGAGGCTTTTATGCGCGGCACTTAACCGCTTAATTACTCATTATGTACGGGCTTATCCAGCCGTTTAATCAGTCATTCACTCAATGCAAGCGAAAGGTAGCGGCGCAGTTTAATGAATAATTGAGCCAAGCGGCAATAAAACATTTATTAACAATCTCGGCTCACAGTCAGGCTGCCCTCGAGTGCAATTTAACATTGATTCCGGGCGGCCGTCGTAAACAAATATGGAAAATTTAAGGGCATATTTCAACGAGTATAAACATTTTCCTATCATAAACAGAGGCACCGAACACGCTTCGTGATCCATGCATTGAAGAGAGCTGCGAGCTGGTCGTAAAATAATGAAACGTTTCAGCGGTAAGCGATGCGTGCCATCGACCTACATTGCACAATGTAAACATTTTAATTTAAACCACTGAAAACCTTTAGACCAGAAGACTCTCAGTAAGTTAACTCTTTTTTCGTATTTAAATTACCTTTCGATTTTAAAGAAGGTTGGCCATTTTATAGTCGCAAAAACCATTTAATGAATATGTAAGAGATGCCGTGTTTTCAGACATTGCTAAATAGCAACCATTAGCAGTTAGGCAATGATAATGATTTTGGCGTGAAAAACCATTGATTCCTTAAGCTACCTCTCAAGCCCACCCCTGATGGCCCAACCACTAATTTGACCAAATTAATCATGGCTAGGACGCAACCTGCTCAACGGTTGACATTTTCAACCTCCACCCAAATCGTGTGACCTTCCAGGTGGCCACATCCCTGTTACCTTGCCACCCTATTTGTCAGAATCGGGGACTCACCGTGACCTCCTCCGTGACACGTGAGATATGCCCGAAAAAAAGAGGGCAAATCGAAGTGACACCCGTAACAGGTTCGACGTGATGTCAACAAAAGCCAAGAAGCAATATCAACCTGAGGAAAAACTCCTTGACTCTCACACACGTACTGGATGTGGGCGAACTTTCATTAGTGGAAACGTCAAAGTTCGTCAAGAAGCAAGCCGTCCTGGACCCCAGTTCCCAAGGCTTCGTTTGGGGTTCCACGGGGTTAATAGAAAACCGAAGTTGGGGGGGGTGGGCCGAAAGTATTGTAATTGCATTTGCATATGACATTCTCCGTTAAAGAATTCTTCGAAAGCGGATGAAATGCAATTGAAGCTTTGGGGAAACGGAAATATTTCGGAAAAAACAGATCGGTCTAAAAATTACCAAATACGAATATCTCTCTATTTATCTGACCACCTAAGGCCCTGCCTGAAGTTGGCTTATTGCGTTTGGCCGTGCAACAAAGTTAAGTTAATAAAATGATTTTAAACTTTTGCTGCCATGGATACGACACTTTCTATTATGCATTAGGGCAACAAAATTGTTTTCAACCTTTTGCCTCCGTCCCTTTTTATTTTCCTTTTTTTTCTGCTTAAAACTTGTCCATGATGCAACTTTCAGTTCGTGGGGAAAACCAGAGCGGATCCAGACCCAGAGAAAGGGCCGTGGGCCGGGCCAAGACAGATACCTTTGCTGACAGCTGCTTAAGTGCGAAATTCGATTTTGCATTCAAGGGCGTTGTCCACTTCAAGCTTTCGCTTTTGCATTCTCCTCGCCTTTGTCTTTGCAGAACCCAGAGGAAAATTATTTAAGCTTGTAATGAACCAAACAGCAAAGCTGAAGCGGAAGAAAAACTCAGGCCATGAAATTTATAGCAAACAACAAGGACACAAAAAAAATACAGGCAAAGTCCGGGGCACTTGGAAAAAAATGATGATCTCAATTAAAATGTTTTCACATATTTAAACTTTGGAAGGTACAACAAAAATGTAGAAAGAAGTGTAATAACTTGGAAAAAATGCTTTTTTCTGCTAAATCTTTTTTAAAATATTTAAACCTTACATTGCACAGCACATTCATTTTACTAATTTCTGGACCTTAACTGTGATTTTTTTTTACATGTTAAATATGTTTTAATGATTAATAAGTAAACAATACCTCTTTCGTATTTAATATTTCAATTGAAATCGTATTCTTTAAGGAATGCATGTCTTTTTTTTAATTATAATGTAGAACAAAGCTAAAATATTCTAATTTATTCCACCACTTAATATTCTAATTACCCATTATTATTCCCTTCTCTGCTTATTTACTATTATTTACAGTGTCGAGGCAGCAAAAAAGATTCAAAGCAGCAAACTAAGTCCATTTGAAAAAGAGATAAAACTAAAACTGTGAAAAAAACGAATGGTGTTTTATGGAAAAACTTTACTTTTGGGCGCAAGGGAAGAGACTCCATTTGGGCCATTTGAATAGTGCGCTTACAAAAATTGGTGAATAGCTTAAATGCCACTTGAATGCGCCAGGGCCGCCATCGTTTTCGCTAATTGAATGTTAATTAATAAAATGCAAAATGTGTGCTCTAAAAAGGGGGAATAATGAGTGGATAAAGTCAAAGTGGGATACTTGTTGACTGAATGGCCATTTACACAGCCCGCGGGCAGCGGATTTTGCATGGAGGAGCCCGCCGAGTGCTGCGAAGCGATAAAGTTTTAATTTCCATTTGATGACTGTTAGTGAAGCGGCGCAAAAATATTTTTTCTATATTTAATTCCTTTTTTTTTTGCGCTCTGAATGTGTGCTTGTAAAATATGTTTTAATTAAAGGCAAAGTTTTATGGTTTTTTTCTCACTCTCGGCCTTTTGTGCGCTGATTGCCCCAAAGCCGGACCAAATCAGAACGGCAAACAAACAAATATAAATTTGTTGAGTAAAAACCGAAAAATTCCCCAAAGTGCAGCTCATCGGGGGGCGATGGCAATGGCATATGCATGAAAAACGCTGCCAAAGTACCACTTCCACTCACTCACAACTTGCAATCCCTCCCGGCTGGTGCTCTGTTCCTGGCAGATGAGCCAAAGTAACGCCGAAATTCCCCAATGCTCGAAACTACAAATAGATATTTAATTTTTTGCCATTTCATACAGAGAGTGGTCCCAGCCGAGGGCGCCAGTGTGGGTGGCTGGCCTTCTGTTTTCGTTGCAGTTCGGCTTTGGTGCCACACAAATGACCCTGAAATTTCGTTAAGCGACAAACAAACAGGAATTAATTTTGTGTGCCTGCAGCCAAAGTTTGTCCCTGCAAAAATATGACAAATTGTTGACAACAATTTGGACCCACATTGGCCTCAGTCAATCAAATTTAAAGATCACACTTAACTTTTAAAATAAGTGCTTTATTTAGATAAAGTGCTTATAATTTTTTATTTCTAAACTTGTTTATATATACAGTGTCTCCTTGTGGGGTCTTCAGGGTTTTTAAATGCTTTTTATATTAAAAATCAGAAGGCTTTGAAAAGTCACTAACAGTTTCCATTTTAGAATCATTCATCTTATTCAATTTATAATGTTTTAAAAACAAATAAATAACCTTTCTTTTGGCCTATTTATCCGTTCTGTTTCCGTTCCGATTTTCGCTTTCCACCATGCAGAATTCCAGAACTTACTCAAGCCATTTGAAGCTAGCCAAAATATCCAGTTTCTATCTCTGTTCCAACACTCCCCTGCAGCCCATCACGGTAAGATCATATGGCGACTCCAATAGCAGCGGGGACACGGGCATAAAGGCCGAACTGGCCAAGAAGATACCCGAGATGCGAGAATGGTTTCTGAACACAAAGAATCTCCATGGAAATAAGACAATCGCACAGGTCACCATCAACAGCGTGATAGGTGGCATGCGGGGTTTGCCACTCCTTATATGCGATACCTCCAGGTTGGTTTAGTTTTTAGTTTATGGAACTACCAAAATTATTCCTAATGTTGTCCTCCTTTTTGTCTCAGTCTGGATAAGGATACGGGTATCTCCTATCGCGGCTACCCGCTCAAGGATGTCTGCGAACAGCTGCCACGCGTAGTGGAGGGCTCGAAGGAGGGCACGCCCGAGGGCTGCTTCTTCCTTCTGACCACTGGAAGGCTTCCCACAAAGGAGGAGGCGGAAGAGGTGACCAAGGAGTGGATTAAGCGGAGCAAGCTGCCCAGTTACTGCCAGAAGCTAATGGACTCAATGGACACGAAGATTCATCCAATGGCGCAGTTTAGCGCAGCAATTGCCTGCCTCGATCCGGAAAGCAAATTCGTCGAAGCTTACAATAAAGGCGCCAAGCGACAAGACTACTGGAAGTACATCTACGAGGATGCAATGAACCTGTGCGCCTATCTGCCCACTGTGGCATCGATCATCTACCAAAACGTATTCAAGGACGGTAGTGGAACCCGTGAGACCGACAAGGAGCAAGACTGGTCCGGGAACTACGCCCGCATGCTGGGAATCGATCACAAAGACTTTTCCGATCTGATGCGCCTTTACTTGGTCATACATGCGGATCACGAGAGTGGCAACGTCTCGGCCCACGCCTCACATTTGGTGGGCTCGGCTCTAAGTAATCCCTATCTATGCTTCTCGGCCAGCATGTGTGGTCTGGCTGGCATCCTTCACGGACTGGCCAATCAGGAAGTGCTTGTCTGGCTAACCAAACTAAGAAAGGACATCGGTGATGAGCCCACTGATGATCAGCTAAGAAAGTTTATCGACGACACGCTCAAGAGCGGTCGGGTAATATAAATATTTATATATATTCCCATATATCTTGTGAAATAATCGTCTCATTCATAGGTTATTCCCGGCTATGGGCACGCCGTTCTGCGGGTCACCGATCCCCGATTTACCCTGCAGAACGAATTCGCCATGAAGCACTGCAAAGACGATCCCGGCGTTAAACTGGTGACCCGCCTATGGAAGATCGTGCCAGAGGTTCTGGGAAAGCTGGGTAAGGTGGCCAATCCCTACCCGAATGTGGATGCCCACTCGGGAGTCCTGCTGCAGCACTATTCCTTCAATGAGATGCAGTACTACACGGTACTGTTTGGCGTGTCCCGGGCATTGGGTGTGCTCTCGCAGCTGATCTGGGCCCGGGCTCTGGGGGCACCCATCGAAAGGCCGAAGTCCATCTCCTCTTTAGAACTTTGTAAGACAATCCATAAAGAAGAGAAAAAGAGTGATAAGTGAGCGAAATGATGAGTCTGAACCACAGAACAAAGACATTCTAGGTTACTTCAATGGTTTATCCGTGACAAACGGCAAAGTCCGCAGTATTTTTGTAACATCTACACTCGGAGCAAAATCGTCGTGGAATAAAGTATGAATAGAGAAATCCTTTCGTTAATATTATTTTCATTTATTTTATATTCTCATCTTAAAAGAAATGAGTGACCCGAGTGTGTGATGAACTCTGGAGAGTGAGAATACCATTTTTATGTGGCATTAACATATAGATGCGTGTGGCTGGCATGTGGTAATTGCTTTGGCTGACTGACATTTGCCGGCTTGTCTCTGAGTCGCTTTGATAAGCGCTTGGTTGGAACCCCAAGAGAGTATTAATTATGGCCTGAGCAGATATAAATCGCATTTCTATAGCTTTGATGTTGTCGCTTAGCAGAATCGTGTCTTGTTTCCATTTCCCCGGCCGCCAAATGGGTCTCCAGCGAGCCCACGTTCAAGTGTATCATAAATCAGTCGCGTAATCCAAGTGGCTTGCAATTAAAATTATTAATTAAGGCCTCCCTAGCTTATGTTACACTTTCAATGGAGCTTCAATGGAGTGAGTGTACTCAATAGTTTGCCACGTGTAAGCTGTAAATTGAATTTTGGACAAGCATACAGCATCAGCCATACGTATCAATCTGGACAAATCAACAATAGTATTAATGTGAGCTTGGAATTCCCCTGCCACGAATTTCATCGGGATACTCGTGATTATTGTAATTTCTATAAAAGCATTCCATCAACTGATTGAAATCTGTGTTCAAGCTTTCTCTCCCCTTGTTTGGCTTTGGCTTCTCGCACTCTGTTTTCGATTGTATTCCCCAGTTTTTGTTTCACAGGCACAAGCCGTTATTTCAATAAGTGATATTTTATTGTTATTTTTATTATTCAACCTCTTCTTGGTCCTGGGGGTCGGCTAAGCCGGGTCCCCAGTTTCCACTCACTTGAATTTTAATTTTTTTCAATCCTCTACTATACATATTCGCCCCACATAACAAATGACCTAGTAAGGAAGATCCAGTAATGAAAAACTAGAGGGGAAAGCTGAGTGGGAAGTGGAAATGCGGTACAGGAGGAATAATTGTATATATTTTTACATATAAAAAGAAGGAGAATAAGCATATGTATGTTAAGAAACTAACTTACTACATTTTATAAACTTAAATTAGGCTTTTAAGTTACTTAAAAAGGCTATCCCATTGTTCCGATAATCGAATCTTCATATTACAGCTGCTGCTCACTCACATCAATAAATTTCCCAATTTATTTTATGAGTATACTAGTAATGCGATCAGGAACCATTTTTTCCCCTGGTTCTTAACTTATTATTAATTGCTCTGAGAGCATGAGAGGTTTCCGATGAAAGTGGAGGCGGGAGAGAATGTAAATGATAAAAGTTGGGGCCAAAAATAAGCTGCAAAACGTTTTAATAAAAGTATTTACTATTTTCCCGCACAGTTATTTTATTGTTGAGGGAAATCAGAAAAAAAAACTTTTTTTATTGCAATTCACTGCGCTACTTCCCCAGCGTGTGAGTATTTGAGAGCTTTTTTTCCCCTTTTTTTTATATTTTTTCAAACATAATTTGAAATTGTTTGGGGCAGGCGAAATGCAGAGGCACGCTCTCGCCTCCTCGGATCCTGCTTCTGCGGCCTTGGCTGCCGGAAAGAGAAAGCGAGGCACACACACAAATTTACCCACTTGAGCACGCACACCCCTAGCTTGGTGGGTGGTGTGTGTCAGCGTGAGAGTGCGAATAAAACACATTCGCATCAACCCGGTTCCTGTCCATGTGGCCGCTACTGTCCCGCCGCTTGGCCAGACCACAAAAAAAAAAGGAAAACAAATCACAAAAAAGATGGAAATATAAAAGTAACGACTATAAGGTACCTAGCAATAGAATCTGTATTTTAGAAATGAGTTTTCAATTAAATATAATAAATAACTTGTAAATACCAAAACAATATTGTTTAAATTAAAGTTTTTCATTCAAGTTTAGAATATGTATTCCTGGGAAAAAATATTTTAAAATAGTTAAGAATTCAATATACACAAAAAATATTATAGTTCTTCCTGAACCTATATCAAGTTCTACTAGCTTTCCAGAGCTCAATATACCCCTTTAATTTACACTGCCGGGCATAATAAAACAATAGATGTTTTCAAGGGTGTGCGTGTGTGGCAGCAGTCATATAGAATGTTCGCACATATGCCAAGCTGCTTTCAGCCATTTGCTGCAATATTAAAACAAAAGTAATGTGAAAGTGCTCTCCAGCCACCCACAACGTCCGCTCGCTGGGGGGAAAGCAAAACCGTAGATTAAAAATTGTGCAAAATTGTGTCTGCATGCAACTATGTATGTGGGGATATTTTAAAACTGACCAAGCTATGGCACTGGCCCCGCCCCACTGGAAACGGAGTTCAATGGGTGTAATGACTGAGCAAAATATTGCATTAAAGATTTCCTGAAATCGAGCAGAAACCATAAGGTATTTTATTATTACTAGGAAATATTTAAGCTGGGTTTGAATAAGAAGAGACCAAGCAAAGCAGTTTGAAATGGCGATGTTATTTCTTTTTGCACTTAAAAGTTTTAGTTTAAGTTGGTAAATAATCAAAATTATTTAAAAGTGCTTTATTATTTGTATTTTAACTTACTTTTATATATTCGCCAGAAGCCACTTGAGAGCCTGCTGTGCATTTTGGTTTAAGGCTTGTCTTTCCGCTCTTGTTTCATTAACTTCCGGGCAAAGTTCAAGAAGTCAGCTTGAGTGACTGCTTCTTATTTCCCGGAGGAGCTTCTTTTTGAGCCCCATATCTCCGTAATCACTTTCATTGTCAGAGAGCCACATACGGGGACTCACAGTTTGTGGTATGTGAATTTTTCCCTTGGCCAGAAAGGAAGCAGAGTGGGGAATGCAATAACTTCCTTATAGACCAAAAACTTTATGGCTGCGACAGCAGCTGCACTCGAGTCGCTATCAAACCCCAGTTTGCAGTCCCTCAGGCCTTGGATGTTATTGTATTATAATGGTCTCTGGCGCGGACCGAGGCTGCTGCGGGATCTGCGTATGTTCTATTTTTTAAGATATGCAAAATAAGTTGCAGCCGCTGCCGACGAAAGCAACTCGCAGGCAAACACATCAGACATTGTGGAAAATAACTATAGACTAAAGAGTGTGTGTACGAGTATATATATTATATGTTTGTGTTTGGCAGAGTGAAAAGTTTTCCGGGAACGCAGGAAAATTACAGTTCTTCCTTTCTAAACAAAGACTGGCCCAAGGAGGACAAGGACAAAGCCACTGACTGAGTGGCAGTAACTGTTGGCTTCCATTTGACAGTTTCCAGGAAGTTTTTACGTCCGCCAGATACTCAAATAAATTGCACAATGGCTTCATCCAACAGATCTCTTTGCCACTTTTGAATATATGTGTAGCTAATGACTTACATGATTTACTGATGTCCTGGGATGCGGCTCAAATTAAACGAGGATAATTGAAAAGCCCATTTGATTATTTATGGAACATGTGCCATGGTTAGTTATACCATTTAATTGTTTAATTATTTCAATATGACTTTCGTATTCATTGGCCCATCAAATGCAATGAACACGTGTTAAATTAAATCTGTTTTAATTACAGGTTAATTAAAACAATGCATTCTACATCCAGTTGTTCAGATAAATGCCCGTTAATATTTATATATTTCTGGCTAATGAGAGTTGATTCGGTGGGCTCCAAAATTGTTTGGAATTAATGTTTATTTAATGCTTCAAAATGTGTGTCACATCTCCAACAAATAATATTTTCACTATTCAAAGTGAACCGATTTATATACCGTTTAGAATGTCTGATATGGAAAAATATTCATCTAAAAAGGTTAAAGTGCACTTCAAACATAGCTTCCTGAAAGAGGTTGAATACTCTAACATTTTTCTGTTTTTTATATCGCGCATTTTTCTACATTTTCTCGTTCTCTCTAACGTTCACTATTTCATTTTCCAGTCGAAGAAATACTCGCACATAGTTTTACTTGGCGGAATGTGCTAAGAGTGCCGGCAGGTAAAAATAATTGCGATTATATTCGCCATTTTTCCGCTCAGCAACGCAGGGCAAACACATCTAGGGGCAGGGAAGATGACTCCACGGGGACGATGGGCTGTGAAAGGATATCTTCTGTTCCGGACAGCCATAAGATGGAGTGAATACCTCCTGCTGCGGGTTGTTTTGACGGTGGGTTCCCCACCAACTCGCTTTGTGCGATTTGTTTTCAGTTTATCTTACCTTCCCTCGCAACGTGAAATGTGAAACTCTAAGAGTTCTTTAACCCGTTTGCTCACAATTTTTTGTAACTAGGCAACTTTTATTAGCTTAAGTATTTAATTATAGAAAATACTACGTTAAAGCTATTTTTAATAATAGAACCAACACAAAGCCTATGGTTCATAGTGTGAGCAATTACAAGTCAACCTAAATGCAACTGCCAAGAGCCATGCATAAATGACGCATTGAAAAAGGGAAAATACACTTACAAAATTTGTAAGACTTGAAACAAGACCACATTTTTTTTAATATTAAGTATACAAATAATAAAGTCCTTCGTTTAATCAATTTCTTTGTAAAACAACACTACTATGGTCCTTTTTCATGTATCAATGTTCATGTTAGTTTAATTAAAAAATGTGTTTTTAGGCCGCGCGCACACTACGAGCTGAAAGCGGAGCTGACGGCTGAGAGCTTATCCGCGGAAAGCTTATCAGCGATCGGAGCTTTTTGCAGCCGCGCACACTGCGAGCTGAAGCTGATGTTGATTTGTAATTGTTTTTCAAGCAATACGTTTAAAAAAAACATATTTTAATTCATTAATATTTTTAAAATATCGTTGTTAATGCGATGACATATTTATTTAGATCATCATGACATTTAAATTTTCGAAATCGGACCACCCAGTTCTCCAGAATATGGTTGACAAAGTACGTTTTTTTAGTGTACTTTGGCACCCTGTATCTCGGAAAGTTGACAATATTTTTATTTTAATAAATATTAAAAAAATTCTTCATACTTTTCTATATAACTGGACAGAAATTTAAATTTCTGTTACTTAAGC